TAGGAATCGCAGTGCCGTGGACCGCGGTGACGAGGCCAAGTATCTGGAGGCCACTGTGTGTGTAGCGGGGGAGTGATGTGTCCTCGGGATAAGCTGCTTCGTCTCCCTCTTCTGGTGTAGGGTTGAAGTTTGGTCCTACACGTTCTGCTTCGTTGGTGTTGACTTGTGCAGGTGTAACGTAACCGTTGTCGGCGAAGTGGTAATAGGTTTCGGCGTTGATGCTTTCGCGTGGATTTTCGTCATCCATTGGCATGTCGACGGAGCAGTAGGGGAGAGGTCCGGCTTCCTTCGAGACTGCATCCACGTTCTGCTCATCCCAGTCGGCTTCGTCTGCGGCCGAGGCGAAGGCTCGGTCCCCACGGAAGCCACCTGTGGGGTCGTGATCTTCTTCCAGGTTGGCAAGGTACGTCGGAAGGGTGAGGTTTTTGTAGAAGATGACATCACGTGTTGCTACTGTTTCCTTTGTCTCGATGTCGAAAATCTTCCATGCGTTGTAATGTTTTTCGATGCCCAGATGTAGTCCCCACTGTGCGCGTTGGGAGAATCGGCCAGCTTGTACAGATGGGGGCCGGTACTGTACCATGCAGCCGAAGACTCTCAACATTTTTGTGCTGCCCAGTTTTCCTGTCCACAGCAGATGTGGTGATGCGTTGTTCGGGAGCGATGATGACGAGAGCAAGTTGTGCAGCATGACGGCGTGGTCCATTGCTTCGGGCCACTGGTGTTTGGGCAGGTGCATGCCACGTAGCAGCTTGCGCATGGTGTTATGGAGGGTCCTGTTCATCCTTTCTGCTACACCCTGCTGTTGATAGGCGTAGGGGAGAGAGATGATTCGCTTGATTCCTCTCTCTGCGAAGTACTCTTTGAACCTCTGTGAGGTGTATTCTCCCCCTCCGTCTGACTGGAAGCTCTTGAGTTTTACTACGGATTCTCGTTCTGCTACTGGAAGCCAGGCGACGAAGGCTTCGAAGGCCATGTCGCGGCTTGGGAGATTTAGGTGCCAGACGTATCGAGTGGCTGCGTCGATGAAGGTGATGGTGTAACTGTACGCGTTTTGTCCAGGTTCGCGGTTGTACAGGATGTCGCTGTACACCTTCTCGAGTGGCGCGTAAGCTGGTGCGCTTGGGTTGTGGTGAGGCACGAACGGTTGATGCGGTAGGTCAGCTTCGGGACAGGTGAGGCATGTTCCACGGGCTCGCTGAAGTTATCTGCCGTCAATTAGGAGTAGAGAGTCTTTGTCGAGTACGTCTGCTCTTATCGTGTTATTTAACACCGTGTTGCTTGGGTGACCCATTCTTGCGTGCCAGGTTCCTTCGGTGGCGCGGTGTCCGGGTGAGCGCCGATTCATGTCGGAGTTGGAGTAGAAACTGGCGGTGAAGTTGGCGCTTCGGCGGACTTCTTGTTGAGTCGGAGTTAGCTGCTCCGCGGGTGTTGGTGATGTATCGTCGGTGAAGGTTGGTGCCGTTGAAGGACCAGTGATTGGTGTCGTTGTTGCCACTGCTGTTGTTGTTGTCTCTGCTGCTGCCGATGTTGTCTCTGCTACTGCCGATGTTGTCTCTTCTATGGCCGATGTTGTTTCTGCTGCTGCCGGTGTTGTCTCTGCTACTGCGGATGTTGTCTCTGCTGCTGTCGGTGTTGTCGCTGCTGTTGCCGGTGTTGTCTCTGCTGCTGCCGAATTTTGTATTGTTGCTAACGCTCTTGTTCTTTCTACTTAAGGAATGGTGTGTGAGTACCAGAATCCTTTGGGGCTGAAGTTGGGGTCAAGATTTGGTGGATCTGTCCAGGAGGTGAAGGTGACGATCCCGTCGCTATCAGCGGTGCCGAGATCTGGAACGAAGTCGAGGACGAAGACATAATTTTTCAGGATTGCCTTTCTGATGTAAATACCTCCTCTCCCGTCGTACAATTTGAATTCTTGGGTGGTGCTGTTTGCTTTAAGGTGTATGCCCTTCGCCATCAGTTGGCTGACGCTCAGTAAGTTGTAGCCGAGTCCCTCCACGTTTAATACCTTTGACATCTGCAGTATAACATTTGTCTCCCTTGACTGAAGTTGAACCACGCCTCGTCGTCGTGTGCGCAGGTTGTGATTGTTGGCGACGATAATGACGACTTCGCGTTGAAGTTGGTGCTCGCGCTGAACGAAACGTCCCGAAGAACACATGTGCTGCCCGCAGCAACTATCCAAGAACCAAGTATCTTTTCCAGACGGCTCGCTTCGAGCGATAGCCGCATACGTTGGATTCGGTTGAAGTGACTCACGGCGGGGCGTACTGTTGTCGAGCTGTTCTTCCGGTAAGTAGTGTGGCGGTGACTCGGTGATGCAGGAGTCGGTCAATCTTGCCATGCAGCTGACGATGTTTCTTGCTCCTTGTGCAGATTGTCCTGTCGATGTCGTTGAGACTTGTACTTGATTGGTGGGATTTGCTTGCGTTGAGGCGACTTGACTGCTCGAAGGTCGAAGTTGCCGCTGCGTTGATGTTGACTGTTTTCGGTTGGGGCAGTGTGTGCGCGGATGTCCTGACGTCTTGCAGAGATGGCAGAATGGAGGTACGGGCTTTGGTTGTTGTCGGTTGTTGTTGTTGTTGTAGCGTCGCTGAGTGTGGAAAGCGAATTCCGGTGCTGACGTCTTCCTCTTGTGCCTTTCTTCTTGCAGATCCATGTCTTGTTGCTCGGCATGAATTTCAGAGCAAAGTGCTGCTTCGGAGATTCTTCCGTGAGCTCGGAGAATGGCTTTTGTAGCGCGCCATTGAGGACCGAGGCCGCCAATGATGACTGTCACGAAGGCGTCTTCAGATATCGACCCTTCGCATCGAAGGAGTTTGTCGCGCAATTCGCAACAACGACTGATATACGGCATCCCCTTTTCCCCTAGTTTCATTTCGACTGTTGTCAGTTGCGCCATTAGTCGACTCTGACTTACGCTGTCTGTTGCTTGGTACAGGCTTTTTAAGTGGCTGTATGCGAGCTCAGCGGAGTTGCCGTATCCCCGGTAAGACCGTATATTCTGTTGCTGAGTCGGGGTGATATTCCTCAGTAGGATTGTGTACGCCATCATTGACTGATAGGTGTACTGCTGCTTCTCGTACTGTGTGCCGTTTGTTGGGTATGGCAGGGATCCGTCGAAGAAGCCGAGGATTTGCGTGCCTTCCATCATCAGCTCGAACTCGAATGACCAGGTAAAAAAGTCCTTTCCGTTGAAATGTCTTGACGTCTGCAGCTTCAGAACGTGCGCGAACTGCGAATGAACTTGTAGCGCGTCCAGTGTCTTCTCTTGTCCAGGTGTAGGTTGCGGTTGTGGCATAAAACTGACGGAACCGCGCTGGGGCTCGTATGGAGCAAAGGTAGGTTGCTGCTGTTGATTTCCACGTGCGTAGGATGAACCATCAAGGCTCATTGGAGTCACGTCGTTGTTGTTGCTGTTGTGTGACTACGCAGGCGCCGATTGCTGGTGTTGCCGTAGAAGGACATGAAGGAGAAAAACTTCTCCATCATGCTCTGGTCGAAGCCTGCAGGTTGATTCGCGGGAGTCTCGGTGGATGTTGTCTTGGGTCTTGTTGCCGTACCCTCCTCTGTCTGTAGGCCAGAGGCAGGAGGTGGAGTAGGAGTAGTGCCGGGAGAACCAATAGAGGAACTCCTTTCCTTCTGAGTAGCCATGTCTTCTGATGTTGTAGGTGTTTTGATAGTTGAATTCCCCCTAATAGCTCTTAACCATGTTGGGCTGAGAAAAATAGCCCTTAGGATCTTTGCAGGGGTGAACTCTGGGTATAACTGATGTAATAGCGGAAGCGTTTAATGAAGAGTTGTGAACCACCTTGCGCTAGTATGTGAGGGCAAAGTAGATTGATTAAAGCAAAGAGATACAATATTATATTAGAGTACAAGGAATACGAAGAGATACGGTTCCAACTGTTTTACTGTTGCTGTTGCGGTTCGATACAGTGACGACTCGGGCAACTGCTCTATAACGAGTAAGTTGTGTGTCGTTGCTGTCGCGCTGTACTTGTTAGGTCAAAGGTCGCTGGCCTTTGACTTTCACGTACGGTAACCTCCAGCAACTGCTCAACCTCCGAGGGTTGACTCGCCAGTGCTTCGATATGCTTCGCTTCGTTTCTAACTCGGTGTTTCGACACGACAGAGGCGCTTAGAGTTAATTGTTTCCAACAGATATCAGCCTTTTTACCCCGATTCAGCGTTGAATCAGCCCTTCACATAGCCCACAGAACAGATTACAATAGATTTGCACCCTGTACATTTTGGCCGACCGACCGTATTTGCACCCACGGTAGTATGAGTAAAAACTGATTCTAAACACCGCACGACGTTCTAAACACTGCACCCTATTCAGACTGCTATTATTAACTGTCTCATGATAAGCTGTTCTGAACCATCTGCACACACAAAAGCAGGCAGTGATGGAAAAGGCCTGAATAAGAATAACAAACAAAACTAAGGGGCGTAAAAAGCTAACCGTCGTAACAAACAGAATTAAAGGGCGCGGAAAGCTAACTGTCGTCAACCATGCCATGAAGTCCAACATGCCACACAGACTGAATGACATTCCAAACAAGCACCAACCATTCCCTGCACCCAAGTGCATGATGATCAAACCATTATCAACACCCTGTCATGAACACCGTGCCATCAACATCCTCCATCTATGTACTTCATGCCATCAAAATCATCCCATCGACATTATGTTATCAACTTCATGCCATTCACACCATGACACCATGCCAAACAACATCAAACCATTACCATTAACGTGCCATTAGCAATCACCACATCCTCATCCACTCACCAGTGACCCAACCCTCTCCATGGCCTCCATGACCGTTGGATCCTCTTCATCATCATAAGAACACAATCACAATGACCACGCTCATCATCCACACAACAAAACACACCACATCAACATATCCCCTCAACCCCATCCACTCACCATTGACCCAACCCTCTCCATGGCCTCCATGACCGTTGGATCCTCTTCATCCTCATCCTCATCAGGACATCATGTGAATGATCATCATCCACATGACAGAACACATCTTGCCACTATCCCACCATACCACCACATCACATCCCCATCCACTCACCAGTGACCCAACCCTCTCCATGGCCTCCATGACCGTTGGATCCTCCTCATCCTCATAGCCCACCTGAAATGTCAAGAGAAGGTTAGAGAACGGGGAAGGGTGGAAAGAGGACCCAGGAAGGGCAACAAGAGGGAATGAGAAAACCAGCAGGAGAATGGTAAGGCATGAGCACAGGTAAAGGAAGGACTGGGGGTCGAGCGGAAGAGAGCAGGAGAAGGAGACGAAAGGCCAAGACACAAATCTGTGAGAAGCATTGTAATGGTCACTGAGTCACCATCCTCACTCCTTGAGATGACCAAAAGGCACTACTGGGAGGAGGAAGCAATTCAGGAGAATCCAGGGCAAAAAGGATGCAGGAAGAACAACAGCGGTATGGGAATGGAAGGGGAGGAAAAGTGAGGGTGGGGTGTGGGGCGAGCATAGGGTAGTGAGTCACCTGGAGTATTCTCGCGCCGTGCACAGCCCACAGAGCTTTTCTGCCCGCTTCCTGTAGAAGCACACATGTTGGTGTACGGGAAGCAGAGGTGGAAAAGCAGGTGGGGTATGGGGCACGCATAGGGTGGTGAGTCAGTTGGGGTATTCTCGCACCGTGCACAGCCCACAGAGCTTTTCTGCAAGCCTCCTGCGAACACAAGCAGAATCGGTCTTAAAGAAAAACACACACACACACAAAACGAACTTGAGAGTCTGTATGAGGTCTGTCATTTCTTCGAAAAGGATAAAAGAAACGGGTACGATTGAGACAGTACACTTGAGCAACACAGAGGTGACTTTTGAGTCGACTCAAAAGTCAAACGGGTACGATTGACACAGTACAGTCGAGCAACACAAACACCCACCTCAGAAGAAATGAGGAAGAGAGCATCAGCAGCATCGGCCCGTAGCTTGGCGTCTGTCACAGGGGGGCGTTCCATGGACAGCGGTACGGCGAGCTCTGGCGGCATCTGGTCCCTGTCCTCCTTGCTGTATACCTGGGAGAGAGTCACATAGGGGAGGAGGTGAGGGGAGGGGAGAGCCACACACATGGGGTAGAGGGGAGGGCAGAGGGCCTGAGCTTGGCATCGCTCACAGGAGGTCGCTCCATGGACAGTGGTACTGCGAGCTCTGGCGGGGGCATCTGGTCCCTGTCCTCCTTGCTGTATACCTGGGGGGAGTGGAGGAAGTGCGTGAGGGGGGTGACGACGGGGCAGACAGAGGGAGGACAATGGTGTGAGATGGGATGAGTTCATGAGAGCTGTATGGCCAGCTCTGGCGGCGGCATCTGGTCCCTGTCCTCCTTGCTGTATACCTGGGAGGTAAACACATGGGAAGAGAGCGGAGTTGTCGGGGCATGAGATTGTGTGAGTAGGAAAGTGTGTGAAAGGTGGTGGTACTGCGAGCTCTGGCGGGGGCATCTGGTCCCTGTCCTCCTTGCTGTATACCTGGGGGGAGTGGAGGAAGTGCGTGAGGGGGGTGACGACGGGGCAGACAGAGGGAGGACAATGGTGTGAGATGGGATGAGTTCATGAGAGCTGTATGGCCAGCTCTGGCGGCGGCATCTGGTCCCTGTCCTCCTTGCTGTATACCTGGGAGGTAAACACATGGGAAGAGAGCGGAGTTGTCGGGGCATGAGATTGTGTGAGTAGGAAAGTGTGTGAAAGGTGGTGGTACTGCCAGCTCTGGCGGCAGCATCTGGTCCCTGTCCTCCTTGCTGTATTCCTGGGGGCAGGGGAGGAAGTGCGTGAGGGGGGTGACGACGGGGCAGACAGAGGGAGGACGATGGTGTGAGATGGAATGAGTTCATGAGAGCTGTACGGCAAGCTCTGGCGGCGGCATCTGGTCCCTGTCCTCCTTGCTGTATTCCTGGGGGGGAGACACATGGGGAGCGAGTGAGGAAAAGGGGGAACATGGGGTAGATTTCAAGATGTCACATCACAAAAATCGTAAGGAATACATTTCTTTTTGGCATGTCTAAAAGCATCGATAGATATCTATTATTGAGATGTCTCAAAAATCGTGAGACCAGTAGCAGTCAACCAGCCTGTCACTTCCGACACACAACCCTTTTCAGGCGCCTTATGAGGATTTCTACACCCCCCCCCCCCCCCCCCCACCCCACTTCACTCACTCTCGTCCCGGCCAGGGGCAGCAGCAGCGACGGCCAGAGCAGGTCAGCAAGGAGCAGCAGCGAGGGCAGGGCCCCTGAACTCGCATCAAAGCAGCAATTTCTAACTGTTGCCATGGCCTGATGGGGCAAGGGGGTGGGTGGGGGAGGAATGGTGGGTGCGAAAGGGCAGGTCAGCAAGCAGCAACAACGAGGGCAGTGCCCCAGAACTCGCATCAAAACAGCAATTTCTAACTGTTGCCATGGCCTGGACAGGGGAGAAGTAAGAGCAAACGGGTGGGTGAAAGGGACGAGTGGGTGGGCGAGGGGCGAGGTGAGTGTTTCCAATAAGTTATGGCTTCTTTACTGAGCGGACTTTGCTATGAGTGTCGAGAGGGATATATTCAGAGGGATGATGAGAATGATGCGCTCTCTAGCTCGATCACTCACTCCTTGGCTGCGGATTTTTGAGGCGCCTCAGAAACTGAGAGCGATATATTCAGAGGGATGATGAGAATGATGCGCTCTCTAACTCAATCCCTCACTCCTTGGCTGTGGATTTGGATTGAAGAGGACGTCTGGGGCAGGATCCGTCTCAGAAGCTTCTTTACCCATATCAGACAAATTATGAGATAAAGATGAATGATCGGTGAAGACTCTCTAGCTCACTCACTCAATCACTCACTTAACCCTTGGCTGCGGATTCGGTTTGGAGACGACGTCTGAGGCAGGATCTGCCTCAGAAGCTTGCACACCCCTCATCAATCTTAGTCCAGAAGAGTCATGAGATTAAAAAAAACCCTCACAAAACTCTCTAGCTCAATCACTCACTCCTTGACTGCGGATGCGGATTGGAGACGACGTCTGAGGCAGGATCTGTCTCAGAAGCTTCTTTACCCAGATCAGACGAATGATGAGATAAAGAGGAATGATCGATGAAGACTCTCTAGCTCACTCACTCACTCCTTGACTACGGATTCGGTTTGGAGACGACGTCTGAGGCAGGATCTGTCTCAGAAGCTTCTTTTCCGGATCCAGGAGCAGCTTCCTGGCAGCTTCCAGCCGAGTGGCGTTGACTAGAATGGTGGCCACGTGCTCGTACTCGTCCTCCTGCCCCTCCTCCCTGTCAGCACTCGTAGCGAATCGCCTTGTGAGGGAGGCGAGGAGCGGCACGGACCCACTGGGCTGGATTCAAAGGGGCGAAGAGAGAAAAGGGGAAGGGGAAAAGGATGGTGGCCACGTGCTCGTACTCGTCCTCCTGCCCCTCCTCCCTGTCAGCACTCATGGCGAATCGCCTTGTGAGGGAGGCGAGGAGAGGCACGGACCCACTGGGCTGGATTCAAAGGGGCGAAGGGAGGGGGAGGAAACAGGGGGAAGGGAGTGGGGGGGAGATGGGGAGCTCCTCGGGTTGCAAATGCATTTTTTCCAGGAAAGTTCCAACCAGCACAGCAGCATAGCGAGGGGAATGGTGGCCACGTGCTCGTACTCGTCCTCCTGCCCCTCCTCCCTGTCCGCACTCATGGCGAATCTAAGTTGGTCTCTTACGTTTTTTGAGGTCTCGTAAACGTAAATTTCGTGAAATTTAGCGTAAACGTAAACGAAAGCGTAAAATTACACGTAAGTATGAGGCGAGCAGGAAAAAAAAACTAATGTGATACTTTTTATTGGATTGTGTACGGGTACCAGATCGTACCACTAATTTGTCATGTGCCTTTCTAGAATAGCGACTTTACTACGTATGGAACGCCTTTCAAGGCCGTGAAAGTTTCAAATTCAGCATTGACCAGGTTAGTAAGAGAGAAACACGATAGGTTGCGAACGAGCTGCTAGGTTGACGTCGACAAGATATCAAATTACGGAACTAGGTTGGAGGAAATCTTCTTGATGCTCTGGTCGTTTTTTTCCCTCGGGCAGCTCAGAAAAGTTTTTAGGTGACCGTAAACGTAAGGCCGAATCTGGGCGACCGTTCGTAAACGTAAAAATTGCCGTAATCGTCCGAAAACGTAAGGAACCGAAAACATAAGATCCAACTTAGTGGCGAATCGCCTTGTGAGGGAGGCGAGGAGAGGCACGGACCCACTGGGCTGAGTCAGATTCACCAGCAGCATCACCGTCAACCCCGCATTCTTCCCCTTCCCAACTATATTGGAGTGACTTTTGAGAATTCTCAAAAGTAACTGTGTTGAGTCAATTTTTGAGTCGACTCAAACAGCATCACCGTCAACCCGCATTCTTCCCCTTCCCAACTCCCCCCCCTGCCCCTCCCCCTGCTGCTCCCCCGCCTGTTCTGCCTATCCCCCATCGAATCCCCACAGCTCTTACCTCAAGAAGCTTCTCTGCTCCTTCGTCCAGCTGAGTCAGATTCGCCAGCAGCATCACCATCAACCCTGCATTCTTCCCCTTCCCCCCTCCCCCTCCCCCTCCTGCTCCCCCTCGACCCACGGCCATCCCCCCTGCTGTCTCCACCCCCCTCGCTTTAATCACAGCCTTTGCTGCCACATCGTGCTGGGACAGGTTCACCAAAGCTTGAGCGGATGGCAGGGAGATTTCCTGAATTGAGGAAGGGTGGAAAAGGGGAAAGAGGGGAAATCAAAGAGAACAAGGGGTTGCTGCTGGTGGTGCCTCGTCATGCTGAGCTAGGTTCAACCGGGCTTGAGCGGATGGCAGGGAGATTTCCTGAATTGGGGAGGTGTGGGGCGGGAGGGAGGGAGGGTGGTGAGAGGAGAATTGCGGGAGAAGTCGTTGCAACGGTTGCTATACTGTGCTGAGATAGGCTCACCAGGGCTTGAGCGGATGGCAGGGAGATTTCCTGAAGGAAGTGGGTGGAGGGGGAGGAATGGAGTGAGAGAGGGGGGGCGGGAAGAGTGTTGGAGAGACCAGGGTTGCTGGTGGGTGGGAACAAGGCTCACAAGGGCCTGAGCGACAGGCTGCTTCCTGAGGGAAGCAGGTGGAGGGGGAGTGATGGTGTGAGAGAGGGGGGAAGGAAGTGTTAGAGAGACCAAGGGGTTGCTGGTGGTACAGCAAGGCTGAGAATGTAGCAAACGTTTGTGCTGCTGGTGGGTGGGAACAAGGCTCACAAGGGCCTGCTGAGCGACAGGCAGCATGCGTGGAGATAGAGGTGGGGGTGGGTGAGAAACCGTAGGGAAGAGAGTGAGGTGGAACGTAGGCTGCACCTTATTGGCTGAGAGCAGCGGCAGCAGGGCAGCGGCGATGACGTCAGCCTCTGGTAACAGTTTGCCGAGACCCTCGTCTGAGCCAGTGAGGCCCGCCACTATGCCCACTGCCATGCGCTGCACCTGGGATGGATGATGAGTGGATGGCGGATTAGGGGGAAGAGAGGGAAAAGGGACAGAAGCATGACAGAATCGGTAGCAGTTTGCTGAGACCCTCGTCTGAGCCAGTCAGGCCCGCCACTATGCCCACTGTCATGCGCTGCACCTGGGATGGCGGGGTGAGTGGGTGGGGGTAAGAGAGGAGGTTACAGAAGAGGTAGCAGTTTGCTGAGACCCTCGTCTGAGCCTGTGAGGCCACCTACATTTCCCACTGCCATGCGCTGCACCTGGGATGGCAGGTGGGGATGGGGGGATAAGGGGAGAGAGAGAGAGCAACGACAGAGGTTACGGAATTAGTAACAGTTTGCTGAGACCTTCATCTGAGCACGTGAGGCCAGCTACGATGCCCACTGCCATGTGCTGCACCTGGATGTGTTGGATTGTGGTAATAGGGTGTTTTAAATGCGTATCACGAGCTGTGTCGCCTGTTGTGTTCGCGACAAGGTAACGTGGTTACAAACCAGGGGTTAAGGACGGACATGAAGAGGGGATCGGAAGGGTTTAAGGGGGATCGAACGGGTTCCGGGTCTAGATTTTGGAAGCGGGGAAATGATCGAGAGCTAATCGGGCGAGTGGAATTGACGTACTGCTCGGGATAATGGCTTCGTTACATCACGGCAGGCATGGGAAGAAGGGACCGGCCGTCTACGAATTCGCTCTGTTCACCCGGCATGGACATGGCCAGGATGCGAAAGTAAATACGACGGAATGATAAAAGGAAACACTGATCGCGGCGAGAGCGAGACGGTGAAGCTTGATTTGTCCCGAAAGTCATGATCAAGTGATAAGACTAAGTAGACTATGCTCTGGAGATAGACGGGTACCTCTGGTCGCGGCGAGAGTAAGAAGCCAACTAGCTCCTGCACTTCAGCCATTCTAGCCGGCTGATCTGACGGCTGCAGGTCGACGACCGGCAACGGCGGCGGGGCTTGACGCGACGGTCCGAAGTTGGTCGACGCGTTAGGGGAACTTGGAAGGATGTACGCACATCCTGGTATTTACCCCTAAATAACTTACCGTGCCTTGGTCGTAGAATCATAGCACGTTCCATATTGTGCGAGGTTGTACATTTTGCAAATGTCCAGTGAGCGAATTCAAAACGATGCAGCTATTTCCGAGTATGCCGAACTGTTCGTCAAACCTCCCCGTTTTCCCGCACCCCTCCCACGTCCTCAAGGGCCAGAATTATCCAATTTCGAGGCGTGTGACTGGCACACTCGTGACTGGTGGAAGCAAGAGGGGTTGATTTGATTTCACGCATTTCTCGTGATTCGTTCAGAAAATTCTTTGCAATGCTGGACAGGCCAGATCGCGAGCATCCCTGGGTTCTGGAAGACCATTGCATTCGGCGCTCTCGTCTCACGGATTCCACCGTGGACCTCTCAGAAAGCACAAGCAAGATGCTGATGTGCTACGCGTCAACATCTAGCTTGTCCATGTCACTTCAAAAGACGTATTTTCTGGAAACACGGGTGTAACGAAGGTGTTACGTCAGCACTGACAGGAGGCGCTAGTGTTCACATCAAGATTCTAGTTCCCGAATTTCCCGCGCGTTGTTCTCGAGACTTGTATATTCGTCTTTTATTCGTCAGGCACGACAGTTCCTATCAGTTTGAGTTACAATCTAATTTTGTCAATTAAAAGCTTGATCGCTTGTTCACGCGTTCGCCGCTGATACAACCACCTGTTCGCTGTAGCGTACCTGAGAAGCTAGCTGTCTTTGCCATCACAGGCTTGCTTTTCTCTAAGCTTGTTCAAGTGATTTCGTGCGAGAGGAGAAGCATACACGGTGTAACAGGGAACTTGGGGATAGACCAGGGGTTTACACAGAGGTTGCGTGATTAAGGTTTATCTTCAATTGCTTCACGGCGCGTGAAAATATAACAGAAAGAACAGCCGGCACAGCTGGCGCGGACGCGTTTCTCTCTACAATGCCCCCACACCTCCAGCAGCCCTCGTGCTTTGGCAGGGATACGAGAATGGAGTCTTCTGAATCCGTCGCAGTCACGCTCGATACAGTCACAGTCGACTCAGAACGCTACCGTCCGCTTCCAAGCGGCGAGCCTCAAATGCGAAAAGTCACCGAGTCGCGAGGAAACTCGCGGTTCGGATCCATCGTGTACAAGACGCAAGAGGGTCTCGAAGCTCCCTTGCTGGGCGATAAAGCGGCCGCGGGAAGAGGCGACTCGGATTCAGACACCTTTTATGGGAAGGATGTTGAAGGCGCCGCGGGCGGGGTTGGCGGCGCGGGAGAAGCGGAGCGGGCAAAGGGAATACGAGGCGAGGAGGAGTATCGGCGGATCGAACATAGGGGGAACAGCGGGTTTATCGACAGCGTATTTAACGGCATCAATGTTCTCGCAGGTGAGTGGCTTGTTGCAAATTTGTATATTTAGGGCGACTTTTTTTAATTAAAAAGGGCCAGAAAAAATAAAGAGAAGACAAAGTCAGAAAAGAGAACAACACAAATTAGGGCCAGAAAGACGCCTAGTCGCGAACGCAGCTTCCTAGTCCTCTTTACGTTCCCTCGTCTTCCCCTACCCTCATCCCTCCCCCCACCCCCCTACCCCCTTCCCCCCGCCGTGCCCTTCCCTCCCCCACAGGCATCGGCATTCTCTCAACGCCATACGCCACGGCGCAAGCGGGCTGGCTGGGTCTCCTCGTGCTGCTCTTCTTCGCCGCCGCCTGCTGCTACACCGCCATCCTGCTGCGCCGATGCATGGACTTCCGACCATCATCATCAGCCTCCGCGTTTCCGTCCGATTCGTCGCTTCGCTCATTCGCGGACGACCCCGCCGCCTCCGCGCGCGCCTCCGCCTGCGCGTCCCCCCGCATCGTGCGCGCGCCGCGCCCCATCCGCTCGTACCCGGACATCGGGGAGGCGGCGTTCGGGCGCGCGGGGCGGTGGCTTACCGCGTTTCTGCTCTACTTCGAACTGTACGCCGTGACTGTAGAGCTGTTGATTCTAGAAGGGGACAATCTGGCGCATCTGTTCCCATCCGGCGATATTTGTCTGCTTCCGGGGTGCCTGGTTGGAAAGGGGAGCAGTGGAGTGGTGGAGAGCGGTGGAGCGTGGTTTCTAGAAGGAATAGCACGAGGAGGAGGAGTGGGAGGGGTAGGAGGAGAGGGGCAAGGAGAAGGGATCTTGGGAGCAGCAGCAGCATTGGCATCAGCAGTTGCGAGGGGGATAGAACCAGCTTTAGAGGCAGTTTCGTTAGCTACAGGAGCAGGCAACCTATGCCTAGAACCGAAGCAGTTCTACGTCATTCTATCCGCGTTATTAGTCCTCCCCACCGTCTGGCTAAGAGACCTGAGCCTTCTCGCATACATCTCAGCAGGAGGTGTACTGGCGTCCCTACTTTTAGTGTTCGGCGTGGGATGGCTTAAAGAGGTTGACCATATCGGGGATATTCCAGGTGGAATCAGCAGCACCACGGAATGGTTCAAACCCATGGGGTTACCAGCAGCAGCCGGTTTATTCGGATTCTGTTTCTCTGGGCACGCGGTCGTCCCGAATATTTACCGATCGATGAAAAAACCGGACCATTTCACGCCGGTTATGCTCGTGAGTTTTGTGGCGTGCACTCTGCTTTATGGCGGGATGGCTCTTATGGGGTACGCCATGTTCGGGGCGTCTGTGCAATCTCAGATCACGCTTAACTTGCCGCCGGCACTTAGTGCTTCCAAGGCGGTGGTTTGGACTACAGTGGTGAATCCCTTCACTAAGTTCGCGCTTACCCTGCTGCCGATTGCTCTGGCTTTAGAAGAAACCCTCCCCACTGCCCACCCCCATCCACTCCCTCACTCTGACTCGCATTCTCACTCTACCCAAGAGGGGGGTGAGTCTGCTGAAGGTGATGCTGACGTCATAGAAGGAGGCAGCCGAGGCACAGGCTCAGGAACAGGCACGGAAACAGGCACGGGATTGGAAGCAGGCTCGGACACGGGCATGGGCAAGGGTATAGACATGGGTACGGGTGTGGATTCGTGGCAGCACATAGCATCGGCCACAGCCCTCCGGACGGCACTAGTGGCCGGCGCAGTTGCCGTAGCTCTCTCCGTCCCGTTTTTCGGGCTCGTGATGGCGTTCATCGGAAGCTTCCTGTCTCTTTCCATTTCTGTCATGCTCCCGTGCGCGTGTTATGTGAAGCTTATGGGTGGGCCATGGAGGGAAGAGGGGAGATTAGGGTGGGGGGAGGTGGTGGGGGTGATGGGGTTGTTCCTGGTTGGTTTGCTGGCTGCTGCGTCTGGGACGTTCTATGCTGTTAGGGGGATTACAGACGAGTGGTGATGGGTGGATTGGTGTTTATTCTGCTTTTTTTGTCATGGGGATAGGTTGTTATTGTTGGGCTGAGTGCCCCTTAGGATCTTTGGTAGGGTTAAACTCTGAGTAGAGTGATGTAGTAGCGGAAGCGTCTAGATGAAGTCCTTGAACCACCTTGCTTTGGTATGTGAGGGCAAAGTAAGTTGATTAAAACAAGCAAGTACAAAGTTTTATATAAGAGTACAGGGAATACGAAGAGGTATTATTAAACTGTTTTGCTGTTGCAGCTCGATACAGTGCGACTCGGGCAACTGCTCTGTAACGAGTCACTTGTGTGTCCTTGCTGTCGCGCTGCATTTGTTAAGTCAAAGGTCGCTGACCTTTGACTTTCGCGTAACCTCCAGCAGTTACTTCAACCTCCGAGGGTTGACTCGCTGGTGCCTCGATATGCTCTGCTTCGCTTGTGCCTTGGTGTTTCGACACGACAGAGGCGCTTAAGATGGTTTGTTCCCAACACTCCCCTTCGCTTCTGGAGTGTCGCTGCTGGTGACGTGGCTTTGTCCAGTCAGCAGCATGCAGTACTCGAACTTCTGTTTTCCGAGCTTCTTTGTCAAGTAGTCAGCTGCCATCTCGGACGTGGGACAATAGGATAGTTCAAGTCTCCCCTTCTCGATCTCGTCTTTCACGAAGAAATATCGCAGAGCGATATGCTTCGTTCTGTTCGCGAATCCATTTTTGTTGGCGATGCGAATTGCAGATTGGTTGTCGCAGAACAGAGTGAAGTTGGGTAACTCGGCTAACTTCGCTTCTTCCAGCAGCTCGCGAAGATAGAGTCCTTCCTTGGTGGCTGAGCAGAGTGCAATATATTATGCTTCAGCTGACGAGAGAGCAATTAATTCCTGCTTGCTTGATTGCCAGGAGATCGGTCCGATAGGTTCGAGGCGGTAGATGTAGCCGGTGCGGGAACGCCTGTTGTCGGAGTCGCCAGCGTGATCAGCGTCGACGTAGCCGATTAATTTAGTCGGTGTAGTTGTGTTCTTATAGTAAGTTAGGCCGATTGTTGAGGTACTAACGAAGTAGTGGAGAGCGCGGTCGAGCTCCGCCAGGTGTTCTGCTTCAGGCTTCTTGAGGTAGGTGGCGAGCTGGCTTGCGGAGTATGAGAGATCGGGGTGGCAGGTGACAGCTGCGAAGAGAAGGCATCCTAGCTTTCTCTGGTAGTCGCGTATCCCGGCGGATTTGAGTGAAGAAAATCCTTCCTTGTGGTTTCCTGTCGCGTAGCGGTAGGGCGTAGAGATGGTGGTAGGTGTGAGCGCGAAGCGTTTGGCGATGGTGTCGGCGTACTTGGCGGCGTTGAGGTAGATCGCACCTTCTTCTTCCCGAATGTTCAAGCCGAGGTACTGTGTGACGGTAGAGGAGACCGTGAGTGTGAGGTCCCTCTGCAGCTCCCCTTCGAACCAGGTGGTGATGTCGTCAGTGGAGCCGATGTAGAGTAGGTCGTCTACGTAGACCATCAGCAGAATGTAGTCGATGTCTTTAGTGAGTCGGTACATTCCTTGGTCGTGAGGTAGTTGGCGGAATCCGATGCGAATGAGGCGAGCGTGTAGGTACTGTTGCCATAGCCGCGGAGCTTGCTTGATCCCGTAAAGTGATTTCAACAGTTGACAGACTTGGTTAGGTTCCCCGTTGGTACCGTGTGGGAGCTCGACGACGATTTCCGCGTCGACAGGTGCGTAGAGGAACGCGTTGGCGACATCGATTTGCCGTAGCTTCCTTTTCTTCATGGCGGCGATCGCGAGGAGGATTCGAAGTGAGGTATGTCGGCTAACCGGGGCGAATGTCTCGGTGAAGTCCCGTCCGTGCTCCTGATCGAATCCACGCACAACCCAGCGTGCTTTGAACTTCTCAATTGTGCCGTCCGCTTTTGTTTTAACGCGGAAGACCCATTTCCCGGTGAGAATGGTCTTGTTCCTTGCCACGCTGATGGGGACAACTTTCCAGGTGTTCCGTTCCTCCGGCGCCTTTAACTCTCTGTCCATGGCTTCACGCCATTTTTCCCTGTGTTCCCCCCCTAGAGCCTGCTAGACTGTCGCAGGCTCCTTAGGAAGAGTGTTGCCGTGGACCGCGGTGACGAGTCCGAGGATCTGCAGTCCAGTCTGTGAGTAGCGGGGAAGAGTTGCATCCTCGGGATAAGCTGCTTCATCTCCCGTTTCTGGATCAGGTATGAAATTCGGTCCTACTCGTTCTGCTTCGTTGGTGTTGACTGTCGCAGGTGTTACGTAACCGTTGTCGGCGAAGTAGTAGAAGGTTTCGGCGTTGAGACTTTCGCGAGGGTTATCTTCGTCCATGGGGACGTCGACGGAGCAGAACGGAAGGGGTCCAGCTTCTTCTGATGCGTTGGCCACATTCTGCTCGTCCCAGTCAGCTTAGTCTGCTGCCGAGGCGAAGGCTCGATCACCACGAAAACCACCTGTGGGATCCTGGTCCTCGTGCAGGTTGGCAAGGTATGTCTGGAGCGTGAGTCGTTCGTAGAAAATGACGTCGCGTGCTGCTACTGTTTCCTTGGAGTGGACGTCAAAGATTTTCCACGCGTTGTAGTTCTTTTCGATGCCGAGGTGTAGTCCCCACTGTGCGCGTTGTGAAAATCGGCCCGCTCGTGCTGCTGGGGGTCAGTACTGTACCATGCATCCGAACACTCATAAAATTTTTGTGCTGCCCTGTTTTCCTGTCCAAAGCAGATGCGGTGATGCGTTGTTCGGTAGTGATGAAGATGAGAGCAATTTGTGCAGCATGACAGCGTGGTCCATCGCGTCAGGCCACTGGTGGTTGGGTATCCGCATGCCACGCAACAGTTTGCGGATGCTGTTCTGCAGAGTCCTGTTCATTCTTTCTGCTACACCTTGCTGCTGATGGGCGTAGGGAAGAGAGAGGAGCTGCTTGATTCCCCTTTCCGCCAGGTACTGCTTGAATCGCTGAGAGGTGTATTCTCCTCCTCCGTCAGACTGGAAGCTTTTCAACTTTACGCCCGACTCTCTTTCTGCTACTGGTAGCCAAGCAGCGAATGCTGCGAGGACCATGTCGCGGCTGGGTAGGTTTAGATGCCAGACGTAACGGGTGGCGGCATCGATGAAGGTGATTGTGTAGTTGTATATGTGAGAATAAGCGAACAGGAATGAATGAACTAGCAGTGAAATGAGTACAAGTAGGAAACCCTAGAATTGTGTACCCCCTATAGACTAACCCACTGTAGCCTACACAAGCATAACATATATAATGTTTGACACACCCCCATAGGCAAAGTGGGGGAGAACAAGGGGTCACAAGACCAGTCAAGCAAAGCAAAGCAAGCTCAGGGTGGATCACAAAGTCACCACACAGTCCGAGCACAAGAGCAGGGCCAGAGGCCAGTTCACATGCAGGAGGACAGACATATATATAAAACTAGACAAGCAAGATTAGGTATATATATATGTCACAGTACAAGTGAAGTCAAGAGGAGAGCAAGTGAGGCAAGACAGGCACAAGACCCAGCTGGGTGCAAAAGCGCTGATGGTCACAAGGTGCGAGTGCCTTGGTGAACACATCAGCAGTGTTGGCCTCAGAGGCCACGTACGCAAGTCGCAACTGACCACGCTGCTGCAGCTCACGAGCAAGGAAGTAGCGGAGAGCAATGTGCTTCGTTCTGTGCTCCAAGCGCTGCTCTCGACACAAGGCCAGCATGGCCTTGTTGTCTACGTACAGCACTGGAGGAGAACGAGGCGGCTCTCCAAGGTCAGTCAGCAGGTAGGTGAGCCAGCGAAGCTCCTGTGCAGCCATGGCCCCGGCGTAGATCTCAGCCTCACAACTGGAGCCGAGAACTGAAGACGAGCGAGTAGACCGCCACGAGACAGAGCCGGAACCAAGGCTGAAGGTGTAACCCTGTGACGACCGCTGCGTAGCCTGGTCGTCAGCCCAAGAAGCATCCGCGTGGCCTGTAAGGACCACTGGACTCCGCCCTCCAAGCACTAGCCCCATGCCCGACGTACTGCACAGGTAGCGCAATACCCTCTTCGCTGCTGCCATGTGCTCTGGTCGGTGTCTCCCAGGAGCAACATAGCGTGCAAGAATGCTCAGAGGGTATGCAAGGTCAGGTCGTGTGCAGGTCATCAGGTACATGAGGCAGCCAACAAGCTCTGCATACGGACCACTCGACTCTACGGACTCATCCGAAGGCAGAGCTGAGAGTGAGTGGCGAGTAGGCAGAGGAGTGGCCTGAGGCGAGGAGTACGTGAAGCCGAAGCGCTGAAGGACCTGCTGCACCATGTGTGACTGAGTCAAGGTAATGGTGCGGCGTGCTCTGTCCCGAGTGATCTGCAAGCCAAGGTAGCTGCGCAGTTCACCCAGGTCTGTGCACGTGTGTCTCTTCAGCAGCTCGGACTTCACGTAGGCGAGTCCAACAGTGTCCGCTATGGCAAAGACCAAGTCGTCGACGTACACGAGGATGTAGAACGGCGGCAGGGAAGTGTCGGTGCGAAGAAACAGCGACGGGTCAGCAGTAGAAGGAGCAAACCCAAGAGCCGCAAGCGTAGTCCTCAGTGTGTCGTGCCACTCACGCGGTGCCTGGCGGAGACC